TTTGATGAAATAGCACATGTTCGAAAAAGACGGCAGACGGTTAGAGGATTGAGAGTGCGCTTAATGTGAGAGACGCCGACAACGTCCGCAATGGCGCCCTATTTCTGCGTGCGGTAAATGGTATAGCTTTCTCATAATAGTTCAAGGCTCAGCTTGCATATGAAATTTGATAAAGTTAGCAGGTTTGAGAATCATCCTCGTTGAGCGCCGGATGCGGAGAAAAGGGGGTGAATTTACATTGGTATTATATCCGTGTAAAAATATAGAAAAATTACGCGAGGTGAGATAAATAAGTGTGTCAGAATTACTGCAAGAAGAAGGAAAAAAATTCCGAAAAAAAATTGCAATACAATACTTACGTGGTCGTGGACAACAGACATTATGATCGCTTTGGCATTCATGAGTGCTTGGACAGTCGGCATTATTGCTACAGCGTTGATTGGCAGCACCGATCTTTAGCGGAGTACCGTATTTGCATTGCAGTTTAGCACAGAATAAGTCACAATCGGCTGCCGATTTGAAATTGTTGAAATTCCCAAGTGCTCCGTTGTAGGTAAAAGCGATGCAACGACCTTGCTCAGCATCGTAGTAATATCTAAATTAACAATTTTCACCCTCTGAAAAAATGGTGAAAAAGCAAACCTGCTAGATGTAGAGAAAGTAAGACTGAAGCTCCTCTTCATACTCATTCCAGGATCAAAATTTGTATGGCGAATAGCATCAACGGGTCGTCCTCCTGTGTTACTACAGATTGAAGCTACTGTGGGGCAGCACATCTGCATGGATCCAATGGTTGTGCATTCATAGTTGGAAGTACAAGAAGAAGCTGTCTGGCAGTTGTTGATAGGTTCATCCTCATTTTGGGAGCTTCCAGTGACGTACTGAGGTGATCCACGTTTGCAAGCTGAATTATGTACAGTGATCTGGAATTTTTTTAGAGCGAAGATGTTGGTCAAAGGTGGTCAAATTCTGCCTACATTTTGAGATGCATAAAACTAGCAGTAGCTTTTATTCTAGGATTATTCGGTCCAAGATTGATCATGGTGCTCAAATCGTGCGGGATGGGAAGCTCCATTGTTTTTTCCGGATTTTCAAATAATATCGGTTTGCTAATCACAGGATAACTAGATCTGTTTTTGAGTACGATTACGGTGCTCACGGAATAACAACAGTGGCGAAAATAAGTGCCAGATTTTTGAAAATACGCAAAAAATCGCCAAATCGCGTATTACTTGTTTTCATTTTCAAGTGCACATCGTTCCAGTTTGAATATATATAATAATATATATAATATAATTGAAAAAAGATTTTATAATTTTTCTGTTCTCTGTTAATTATGTAAAAATTTCTTCGAATGCTTGTTATTTTGAAAATATACCTCAAAAATCAGAGAACAGAAAAACACTCGATTTTGTGAATTTTGCGAGCTTCGTAAAAAAAGAGTAAGGTCGCAGTCTGTATTAGATAGAACAGCTCCCTTTCAAACACCGATCTGGCCAAAAGATTGCTCTGGTACAAAAAAAAGCCGTAGAGTAGTTTCATAATCAGGTGCAATGAGGAAAAAATTGCTAGCAGCCATTCATTTTGCAATGTGGGAAAATTGCATGAGAAGAGTAGAATAAGCGAAAAAATGCCTACTTATACGTATGTATATGAAAATAGTCCTATTCTTTTACAAAAACACAAAATGATTATTTTCTGGCAATTTTTCCTCTTGAAATTTTTGTGATCCTCTAGGTTTTTATTTAAGTTAAATCAGAAAATTTGCATTTGATGGTAACACGGTTGTAGAAGATTCAAAACTTTTTGAGAAATCAAGCATTTTGAGCGTTTGTTTGCTTTTGGCTTATCTCATGGACTTCGTGACGAGATAGCAGCATTGAAAAAAGGTGTGCTTATGCGCTTAGGAAGTCTAGCAAACGTGCGGAGCTTTTGTCTCAAACAGCAACCCGAAAATAACATAGGATCAAATCCACGCCCCCGCGTCCAAAATAACGTGACATTCCCCGTTTTCTCGGGTCGAGATTCGACTTTTGTGTGAGTCGCTGCGTCTTTTTCTTGCGCGCGAGTACAACATGGCTATTTGAACGCGC